ATATATATATATATATATACATGGTCTAGTACTGTATGACAAAAACATGCTCATGTCTAAAGAGACATTATAATTCATAAATTGATAGTTCACCATTCAGTGTATCTTAATTTCAGGGTATCATCGACATAAAGTACTATAGTCTAACTAGGTGGCAGTCAAGTGACTCATGACATTCAGATTTGTCAAAAAGCTGAAGAAGCGAGACTGAGGATTAAACCAGTTAGCTTGGACTAGCCTAGCCGCAGACTATAAAATAATACATACTGGTGCTGTGCTCACCACAGGTAACATTCTATAAACTACTATAGAGCTACGCAGAGCTAATACACCAACCTTTTAGCATGCTGCTCATATACGCTAACATGCTAGATGCTAGCACACTGACAATGTGCTCTGTGAAGTGCCTGAAGTACTGCAGTAAATAAAAGTACATATATACAGGAATGTACAATAAAAATAACACACAGAAGTTCTACAAATATTGGGGATTTATCTAATACTTGACAAACATTTGTGTACTTTACGCTTAATTTCCATTCCATCGTTATTTTTTCAATATTCTGAACAGCTGTGATGACCAGGCACGTTGTGTGTACTGTATGTAGACGTCTGTCACACCGCTTCAAATAGCAAATTTGAAATATATACGGTATATATTTTTGCAATTTCTCTGACTTTATGCATCACATCAGGGTTTCTACTCATCACAGCTCTGCACCGACTCCCGCTGCATTCTAATTGTCTTCACCTGGCTCTTGATTATCCACACATGGTTCCCATCGACCACCTCCTGCTTATGCTGCCGCTCATTGCCTGATTGTCAGCCTAACTAGTGGTTGATATACCGCCTGTGACCAACACGTCACATTTAACATGTCTCTTTATTTTATGACAAATTCCTCCAATCAGTTCAGTTATTGTTCATTTTCTAAATAGTTTGTCAGTCATTAACAAAAGTGTGTTTGGTGCGTCGTAACGTTGTGCACAAGGTTGTATCTATTCAGACTAGTGTACAAAGTTAATCTTAACATAAAAAGTAAGTTCTATGAAAATAACCAACCTTAACCTACCCTGGTGGCTATGGAGCCATGGTGTGGGGAGTGGCGAAAGAATGCAAATTCAGTTTAGTTTTAGTATTTCCTTACATTTTTGTTAAAGTATGGATACTTAATCTAATTTTTTGGACTAACTAATAAATTATAAATTTCCTCTTTTCAGTGAAAACGCCAACATTTTTGGTATCACAGTTTTTTTACACTAAAGTAAATACTCTGTACTTACTTTGTACTCTGTACACTCGAAGGGCTTTTCTGCCCTCGACCTGTGATTGGCTTGTAATAGCAGTAGTAGTACTATGCTTATATATATAATATAACATAATATACATTATATATATTATTATATTATATTAAATATAATTATTAATCAAGATATATTATATTATATATATTATATAATATATATAATATATGCACATATAATATATATATATATAACTAATATATATAATAATAGAGTAGTAGTATTCTCTACCAAGAATCTGGAATCAAACCCACAACCCTCTGTAGGTGAGAAAACTGCACTACATATATACCATATATATGTATAATACATACATATACATATACATATATATATGTATATATATATATATATATATATACATATACGTATATATGTAAAAAATTGTAACTGTGTCTGTAGCTTCTTTGTTTATATCATTCATAAAAATTCTCAGTTCGAAGAATGCGAAACTGAGTGAGCTGTTAGTATAAGACTGTTTATTTAAGGAGCTTTCAAAAGAAGAATTTTAGGCAGAGTTGCTCGAGCAGCACTAATAAAACTCACACACACTCTGTCAGTGGGCTCAAAGCTATGGCGGTTCCGTTTCCGTTCAAGTTTCCGTTAACGATTTTCTCGTTCAGTGTACAAATTAACTGATCTCAACTGTAAATAAAATGTGTCCATTAACACACTGTAGTGTGGTATGTTGGGTGGCTGCTTTGTCCTGGGAGGTGAAATGCAAACTAATGTGAAGAAGAAAATTAGATGATCTCCCACACCGAGCTCAATTTCCATCCCCGGAGCGGCACAGACTTCATATGGCAGAGAGCAGAATGATAAAGTGGAACGTAGCCCGAGAAATAAATAAGCGTACGTCGGAGGGGCCTAAAATATGAAACAGGTATATTAAAGGCAATAAAACTGCCTTTTCATTAAAGCTCAAGTTGGAGCTCATTAAAAATGAAGGATTCACTCACTTGCAGAGGTTGTTTCAGCATGAACTGGAGGTGTGGAGGGGATGAAGGAGGGTAAGAAAAAGGATCGCAGCGAGCGTTCAGTGTAGAGCGGCGAGCGCTGTGTAGGCAGGTTCTCGCAGCTGCCCACGCTGCTGTGGATATTAAGGTTCAAGGGCTTGGTTTTCTTCTTGGCTCTAAGGAAAGGAAACATGAAAGACATAGGAGTATAATTAAGACGTCACAGCAGTGTGCCCATCAAAACACAGAAAAATGACTACAACAATTATGGCAGGTCTCATGTCGGCGTAAAAGAACCTCATTAAAACAGATTTGGTGTGAGTTCTAGTGCAGGCATTAGCTTTCTCTCGAGAGGCTGTAGATTAGTAGCACAGTGTACATACAGTATGTACATGTAGAGATAGTATAGGGAGTACTCTCTTTTCAATCTGCCCTTTGATCAGTGAGATCATTGTTTCCCAAAGACTGGAGTTGGGTCGTCCCGCATCATGTTTCCCAGGAGTTTACAAATAATGTTTAATGACTTGGGTCGCGAAGGTTTGAGATGTTTAAAATATGGGTCCCCAGAAAAAAAGTTTGGGAAACAGAGTTAGATGTTCCTCTCAAGAGGACAGGTTATACAACAACAAGTGAAAAAGCAAAAGTCTAGGGAAACCAAGGGAAATTCCTGCTCCATGCTCACAGTGCTCTGCTCTGTGCTTCCTTAAGACTGTTCCTTAATTTGGAATTCCCATCACTTAACTCTTCTGTGGAAATGACTGACGGGACCTCATTCTGTTTGCTAGGTGGGACAAATGGCAACTTTCAATCCATCCATCCATTCAACTATCCACCCATCTGTCAGTTATCCAACAATCCATCAATCCATCCATCCCCCGTTAGGACACATCCTAACCAGATCCAACTACCCATCCATTATCCATCCACATATCCTTAGATGTGTCAACCCACCCATTTACCATCCATCCATATGTCCTTTCACCCACCCACAGACCCGTCATCCATCCATCCATTTATCCATCATTGATTCATTCAACTACTCTTTCATCTATCGATCCAGATATTCATCCATCATCCATCTTCAGAATGTAGATTTCAGAATGTATCATGCATTATATAAACATTTATTCCTGCTCAACAGAGAGCTAAGTAGAGCATGTTGCACTGTAACCTACTAAGAATGAAAGTACAGGTTTGTAGTTACAGTATTACTCTCTACATTTACAGTACATTAAAGTAAATGCAGCGTAAATGCCACAAACGCTGCAGTTGGAAGGACAAAGTGATTTGAATGAAAAACCTTTCTCTGCTCCCACTGATCCTCCTCTTCTCCTCCTACATACATCCACAACAGAAGAACACCAAGGAAACGCCATTTTCAATATTGCTTAAAAGCATCTCCTTGACAAAAAGAGAAATAATGAATTTTGCACCAGCTGTTGCTCAGACTTGACTACTGAACTGAGATGTAACATTTTCTGCTCAACCAAGAACACAATTAGTGCAGCAACAGCGTGAAGCTTTTAATGTTATCCCTGGTTATTTAAGAAGCTGGAATCCAAATATTAATAAAGCAAAAGATGCAGTTCATGTTGATGACTATGTTATTGGTCCTTTCAAGAAATTATTTAAAAAAAAAAAACTTAACACATGATAACAAGATATACTTCTGCACCATTTGTTGATTTTTCTGAATATTTCACAGTGTTTCTTTGATAAAACAAAGCAACAATTAATTGTTTGTTAATTTTTTTTTCTCCAATACAAGGAAAGCTATTTTCCCCAAATCAAACCGAACAGTCAAAATAGTGAATTTAAAAATCTTTAGCTGTTTTATCATTTGCGGCAATGTTTTTTTCTGTTTTAAACCATAATTTCTTGTTCTAACAATTTAAGCTTTGGATGTATTCATGCCAGTGGCAGTCCAACAAAAAACTATTCATTTATGAAACAAACAAAAAAAAATCATCTAACATATCTCATGAGAGAACTCTTTATAGCAGTGATCCCCACACTTTTTTATGGAGTCACAAACCTTCATAACCCAAGTCAATAGACATTATGCGTAAACTCCTGGGAAACATGATGCGAGCTGACCCAAAAGAAATTTCTTACGACCCACCTGAATATCACAACCCAGTCTTTGGGAAAGAACGCTTTATATAACTCAAATGTCTTTAACAGCTGGTCACAACCTACTGCTAAGAACTGTGTTCCTTTCAAATGCTCCTTTAGTTTTGGTAATAAAAATAAATCATCTTGCGAATATCAAGAGGTTGAAAAAAAATGTTTGCTCTAACATGTTTAGGTCATTAAAATCACCTTTTAAAATCATAGCATCTGTCTAATAAGTTCACTTGATGTCCTAAATGACTGACCAACATTGAACTCCAAAAACTAGGGTTGAATAATTGATTGTTGAATAACTTTGCTGTGAAAGTCTCATTTGTATCATTTGTACAGAACTCCATGTGGTACTGGAGTGCAGCGCAGCGAGTGTCGCATCCTACTCTTTTGTTCTGGATAAATAGTGATGAAGTATGTGGCCTTGTTAGAATGAGAATTAGGTCTTGATTGCTCAGTAATTATTCCCGCCTTAATGAGTAAGTTCACTTCGTGAAAACAGATTTGTTAATTTGCATTTGGCAAAGGAAAATGTCTTCAAAATTGTATTTTAGTTTTCTCCTCTTCAAGTATTTACACCAGGGGTGTCAAACTCAACGTAACTGGAAGACCCCCGGTCCGCGGACCAGTAGCAGCCCATAGATCATTTGGTACTGGGCCACAGCGGGACCCAATGAAAAAAAAATTACTTAATTTTTACTAATTTACTTAATTCAAAGAAAATCCAGTCATATTATTTTTCTTTATTTAAAGACAATCTGGCAATATTTTAAAGTAATAGGTCATTTAGACTCTGATACAAACAGAATAGATATTAAAAGATGTTTTATTTTGAAAATGTAATGATCCTCCAATGCTCAGTACCTCGGTACCGGTCTGTAGCAACGGGTGGTACTGGCTGGACGCATTTGGCCCCCGGGCCTTGAGTTTGACACGTATGATCTATACTATCTATACTGTGTGCAAAAGCAACATTTGAATGATTTAGATGGTGAGACACAGGTGACAAAAATAGGAACCTGTAAATGCAAAGTTTCAAAAAAGGTAAACTGAGCAATTACCACAAAGTGCTAAATCTCTGACGAAGCCCTTTTCCCAACACTGATTCATCCAATTAGAGTCATAAACCAACCAGGCATTTCGTCAGTCACATCTCCTGCAATAAGGAAGCTTGCCGTCTGCCAGTTATCACTTCTCCATTTAACAGTTTTGTCAGCTATTCCAATTGGCCCACTTTATGCCATTTGCGTCTAAATTAAACGATTCATCTCTCCGAGGGTGCGCCTTCACCATCTCCTTGAGAAGAGTTAAGAGAAGGGAGAGGTTTCCCAATTTTTTTTTTTTTAAATATTTTTTAACATTCAGAGTGAAATTCATCGTTGTTGAAGCAACTATTCAGACCTGACTTTTTCCATCTGTTAGAAATGTTACAGAAATGTGGAACTTTGAATGAACAGAAGAGGAGGAGGATGAGCGATGTGTCACATTTCTGGCACGGTTATCTGTGAATGGTCTCATTTAAACATTCTGAAACTGTACATGACAGAGAAGGTCGTCTCTCTGACTGAAATCACTGCAAATTTGTATTTCACTTTCAGTCTTTCGTCCCAACACACTACAGCTGGTTATGGAAGATTAACTTTTTACTTTAGGTACTTCCTAATTACTCAGTAACAAAACTATCAAGGTTTTTTTGGTTTAAAATCCTTTTCCGAGCATTTTTTATTCTATAACACAAAATGACATTCAATTCCACAGTAATGACCTCAGTGTCATGGTTGGGGAAGCCTGGGAATTCAATGGCCAAGGTCTGTGGCAGACATCATGCTATGGTCATGCGACACTAAAAAGAAACTATAAAGTCATCCAAAAACACACTCACTTTTTTTAATTTACTTTGCTTTGGCCCAGAGTCAATGTCTCTGTCATTGGTGTGGAACCTCAGGGTTCACCTCCTCGGCAAGATCGAATCCCGGTTAGGGCAGTTGGTACCTTCCATGGACTCACCACCCACTGGAAGGTTCAAGGGGGTTGGTACGGTACAATGTGATTTGGGTGGCGGTCATAAAGACTGCTGCCCTCGCGACCCGGTAACAGATAAGCGCCTTTGCATTGCAGGGTCTAGCTCCCAAAGTCAAAAACATTGCGAACAGGGGAGAGTTTAACTGGAGATATTAGGTATGGTTTATTAGTTTATTTGGTTGTGTGTTAAGGTTAGGGTTAGGACTCGAAAAGGAATCACTAATTGTTCAGGATATACCTTACCCTCACCCTAAGACTGCCACGATTGGCTCCAGCTATCACTATGAAGCTGAAAAAAGATGCAGCTAGAATGCAGTTGTATGACCGAAGTGACCTACATCTTCGAGAAAAGGTCATTTGATCGAGGATAAAGGAGAAAGCAAAGGAATCAGTTCTCAAGATAGAGCACAAGACAACGCATCAATATTGCCAGGTTTATGGCAAACAGATGTTCACCAATCAAGTGTCAGCTCTCAACAGTGATACAACAAAAGCTCTTGTCTAATTAACACAGATGTCCATCAAAAAAAGGCTAAATTATGGACAGGGTCCCACCTGCATACCTGGTCGTTTCTCACAACAAATATGCAAAGCTCTGACGACACCCATATGGTAAAGAAGAGCATCCTGTTACTTTGTATGCAAATGGGGAAAAAAACAGGGATTTATATCACCGCTCTTGGTGGCTATAATAAAGTTTCATATGAAAGAAAGGTGGTCGGAATAGTAATTACAAGAGCGAAGAGAGCCTTTCAGCACTTTTCTTTGAGAGTGAGCTCTCTTGCTTTGAAAAGTCAGAGTTGACTTTATTCATAGGCTGTGCTCATTGACCGCACTTTTGTTTGTTTTGTTTTTTTCTGGTTAAAATCTACATCTACCCTTACTTACAATTTATCATTTAATTCCAAGTAATAGAATTTATTTAATAAGACAGATTATATTCTGAGTGTACAGGGTATAATACACGTTTTCTGGTTCAACACCTGAACTTTGTGCCTGGTTTTTACATGATCTTCCCTTGTTTCTTTGG